TCAACGACAGGCATTATTCGTAAAAACGACACGCCTGCGCAGAAGGCGCAGCACAGTCACAGCGAAAGCTAGAAGAGCGGCCTTTCAGAGCCTTTTCTAAACACTCATTGGGTAACTGCTGCCAGTACACTAGTTTGATGCCCACTACGGCATTAATAATAAAAATTTTAAAGTAGTAGGCCGGCGTTCTCTACGCCATTTTTCGTCATTCTTCTGAGAAGCGTGGTATACTTTAAACAATTGCGAGAAATTTCGAGCCAGTTGTTAATGCAGTCGTTGAAGACAATGAGGAACGATGCCTGATGCGCCACAGTTAATAGGTGAACAAGAATAAGCTTTTGTAATGGGTTGTTTGCAGTGGACGATCCACTCGTTATGCAACTCGCATTGTGCGACGACTGGTTGTTCCTTTGCTGTTTTAAAACGCTCTTTAAGTCATATCAACGCGATTTCTTTCCCGACATCGAGCCTGCTAAGTCAAGTTTGCCAACAGTTCCCAAGCACCGGTGTAGCTCAGTTGAAGAATACTGGGCTGGCACCCAGCGGACCCGGGTTTAAGCCCCACTGTGCCATTGGTATTAGGTTTCTTTTATCTAATTTTGCGCAATGTGATATGGACACTAGCGACGGCGGACAACTACGGCGCTGCGCGTGACCCAAGTTGTGATCTCATAACAGATTTCACTGTAAAAGAAGAGGGAGAGATTTCTAGCTGACTTCAACAATTTATTGCGAATTCCAGAATGCATGCTGCGCTATATTTGGCCTGCATGCTCTTAAGAGCCTAGAAGGGTTCGTACAGGTTTCCAAAGCAAAAATACAAGAATATTCAAAGACTTTCCAGGGCCTGTCAAAGATTTTTCAAGGACTAAAAGCGGCGCACAAGGTTGAAATTTTTTACTGTGACCCCCATATTCAGAAACGCTACTTGAGTTGAAATTGACTTTCCACCGACTTGAATTCAGCACAAACGCATTTCGAACACGCTGTTTTGGGGCGGTGCCAAGGTAGCACAAATACACAGACAGGTTTCTGAAGGACCGTTTCTGAATACAAGAGAAGTTTTCGAAACTAAGTCATCTTTATTGCACTTATAAACGGAATGTTGTAAGTACATGCATATTTCAATTACACCTAACATGTCTAGTCTGCACTTTAGCTCACTTTAGCTCCACTAGCTTCACCACTCGCACAATAGGGAAGGGGGCATAACCGAAGAGCATTATGAATTTCTCTTTGTTTCAAGTTTCACACAGTTGTGTTTTACGATTCAACGCATGCAGTTTTGAAAAACTAAACCATATCAACTCACGCCAAAATACTGTTTCGGAAATGGGGAACTTATCAGGTCCATGCCGATTCATACCTGCCGAGTTCAAGGATTGAGATCTCCGCAACAGCAAGGGGGTGCTGTGGTGGGAATATCTTTCAGCATTTTGAAGCAGCCATTGAAGCAGGCAAAACCTGCTTTTGGAGCAGCTACCTCTGTGTTTGGAGCATGCAGTGCTTTCCATTACACACACAAAGGAAGAAAATTTAGCTTTAATTTAGTAAAATGAAGCTCAGTGGCAGAGCATCGGACATATTATTTGAAGGTCGCAGGCTGAAATCGTGCCAGTGGCAAGTTATCTCTTCATCCACATTTCTTTCTCCACATATGAATTACAATTACTTCTAATAACCCCCTGTGCTTTCCCTGGCATTGTCGTTTGTTAGCTCTCATTGATATTATGTCTGATAAAGAAAAAGAGCCATTGAGTTTACACTTTCTTTGACTCCGTTTACGTAACCATTTATACAGAAGCAGCAAGCCTACAAAATAAGCACTAAAAATTAACACAAGTAGGATTTTGTGCAGAAGCAGTGACATAAGATAGTGAAGGATACTGCACCAAGCCAGCTGTAGCATGAAGTTCACGGCAGCGCACACACACACCCATGTGCACTATGAACACACCAACACATTCAAAGCTCGTTACAGTAAAACCTCGTTAATATGTAGTACATACATGCCAAGAACCAGCAAGAAAGGCAGCTAACTGCGCACTAAACGTATTATGCATTATAACCACCAACTACATAGGCGTGTGCTAGGAAGAAGGGGGGGGGGGGGGCAAAGGTTTGTCACAGTGCCCCCCTCCATATCATGTCAATGCATGAGGATGACTGCGCCCCCCTCTCTATCATGTCAATGCATGTGGCTGAGAAACCGGCTTTGCCCCCCCTCCCCCCGTCGTTGCACGCGCCTATGATGCACGTCATCACCGCTATAAGAGTAATAAAAATAGTGCCACAGGAACTGTTGCTTAATATGCTCACCACGAAGCCTTCTCTTTCTTTTTGCCAATGTTCAAAATTTATTGGCACTCTCACACGACCTTCAGATGGCACGCGGTGGTGACACTAAAGAGCATTTCGAAACTACTGTGAGGTTCGGGATACTTAGCCAACGCAGCAACGGGCATAGCGACTAAACGAACATAATCAGCTGTCGGCAACAAATGTGTACCCCGATCTGCTATTAGCAAAACCGTTTTTAGATGCTATGCAGTTGCAGAGAGCCGCTCATCTACCGGCTAGCTGCCTGCAACGTTTCGCCTACTCGGCGTACCCACCGTGCCGAGCCGCTTGCGCCCACTCCACTCAGACCATGCACAGATGCGGCGAGAAGCCTGTAGGGTTCACGTGATGATGCGAGCTTTCTGCAAGCAGTGCTCTACCAGTCCTGGCAGTGGACGGGGCACGTTTGGGCTGTCACCTCAGAAAGCGTGTGCTAAGCTTGATGTCTTGGTGCACACAATCTACAACGCACAACTCTGCAACTACGAGCTTTTTTCGTTTCTGCAAAGCGGTACACGCTGAACACGGTACGACACAATTATTGAGGTGGCAACGATTGGCGCCTCAGAACTCTCAGGTAGTCGTCGGCTATCAAAAGTGTGCAGTAGGCTTAAAGCGGTGCTACGTCGTCACACACATGGGCTTCTTGTTGGCGAAGTCATGCTGGTGCCGCGCCTTTCGGTAGTCGCCAGATCGCCTTCGTTCTTTGCCTATGGTTATAAAAATGCACCGCGACCATCACACGGAAATCGGAATAATTGACCAGCTGATTCCATGCTTTTGCAGCAGCTCAACTGTTCGCAAATGCAGCAGTGCACGTGTACAAGATGACAGATGATGACCATCACATAATATCTGCTCATGACGTGTGCTATGATGAACATTACTTTCGGTTCCAAAATCACCTTGTGGCGCAGCGATGGTGCAAATTCGAAAGAGAAAACCCTTTTCGAGCAGTACAGCGCAGTAATTTCCGATTGGTGCAGCTGGGCGCAGGTTTCCCACCACTGGGGGTGGTGTCGCGCTGATTTATTTGCCCCCCCCCCCCCTTTTTTGCACCAAAAAAACATTGCAAAAAAAAAAAAAAACAGGGTGAGGAGGTGGTCAATAAACATCGCAGTTTTGCGGACTCATACAGGCGTGGGGTGGCTGAACACCCAAGGGGAGGGTCTCCCAACTGGAGTAAAAGGTGCGAGTCTCAAAGGGGGCGAACAAACTTGTGTCTCTCAAAATTTTTCATCAAAACAACTAGCAAAATCTATTTTTGTCAAAAGAACTCGCGTATGTTTTCTTAGGACACACGTGAACAAACGGGATGGTGCAGCCGGCTGTCGGAAAAGTGAATAGCTCAAGGTTAACTGAAAACATTATGCCAAAGTATAGCCAAAGTACCCAGATTAACAAGAACAAGGTTACTAGATTCTTAGGACAGGAACGCCAAAACGCTTTTAGCACTTTTTGCATCTTTATCACCTCGATCGCTGCGTTAGCTGTACGCCTTCGCCTAGTAATCACGTCGCCGCAACTGTGATTCCGTATGCGGCCGTTGCAGAAAAACATAGTTCCGTTTTTGATTCCCGTGCACTGGCTGTGCATGTGCCTTTAAAACCATGTCGTTCTTTGCTATCTACTATCGCATCTGTTGCGATCTTGTCTGCAGGGTTTGTTGAAAGCAATGTCGCTTTAGCTGGTCGAGCAATGAACACTCATGCACTTGGAGGTTCTGTCAGTTACGTCATCGCCACACATGATCGTGTCAAGTGTGACCGTGGTTTCGTCCACAGCGATACTGCCAAACCATAACCGCGGTTCTGACAGTGCTTGCACTGGCACCATGCATCCTTCCAAAACTTCGAGCACGCTGCTCTCGGCTTATGTTCCACGGTTTCGGCACTGAAGTTCATACGACCCGCCTCAATGAGGAAAAGAGCTCGGAAGTCTGAATTTCGGACGTTTAGATGAATGCTTCCTGAATTAGTTTACAATAAAATACGATTGGTTCTCCAAAAACCTGGATTAGATTTGGCTGCATTTTCGTCAATGCAGCCAGATCCTGCACAGAAATTTCAATTTCAGGAAAATTTTTCTGACAACTGTACAAACGTTAGAACTGGTCGAAATGTGGGAGACTTGGGCAAGTATGCTGAACTACCACATAAAGGAGGCCGCAGCGTCGATTGGGAGTGCTCAGGAAATTCAAGGATCTTCAAGGATGGGAAAAAATTTCAGAACTTTCAAGGGTTTAGAAAATGCATTTTTTTAATTCAAGAGTTTTTAAGGTTTTCAAGGAGCTACAATACCCAGCTAGAATACCGAATCACAGCTTTTTTTTGACAATGTTGAAAAAGCGTTGCAAGGCCCATTTAAACTTCTTCAGCGTGCTGCACGGTTGTTCAGCTGGAAATCATTTAGGGTTGGTTCAATCCCATTTTATATATATATGTTTGTGCAAGTGTTTCTATGCTTGCATGTACATACCTTATCCAAACAAAAAAGAAATATTTGTGAGGGAGTGGGTGGGCTTAAACTCCCTGCCCCCATCCCCTGCTATCATTTTGACAAAACTGGTTGCACAGTTAAGCCATTTCTTTGGATTCTTTAAACACTCAATATGAGATGTAAACACGAAATATAAGTAAAAAATAATAATTGCCACAAACCTCTTCCAATGGCCACAACTGCCGCCGTTGGGAGATCAATTCGTTTGCAGCTGAAATTGTAGTGTCATCAATATTTGCAACCAATGCTTCAGCTGCAGCTCCCACGTCTTTATAACAGTCATCTTGAAAAAAAATGAAAAAAAAGAGAGAGAGAGAGAAAAAGACCAGTGTTATATGTAGATTCCTGGTTCACCCAAGATAATTGTCTAACACCCCAACAGTAACTCATTTATACATGACATCCACAAAAATTTAAGAAGCAAACTAAGTTTTTCTAACAGTTCTCTTTTCTAAGATTCTTCTTAAGACCAAACCTTAAGGTTATAATGTGCTACATAAAAATTACAATTTGGCATTTGACAGCATCCCAAAAGTTGGTTTAGTTCCCACAGTGCCATAGCTGATCCAACAAAGAAACTTCAACGTTTTGCCTTTAAGAGTGCAATGCAAAAGCGTTAAGAGGCACCGTTCACATGACCTGCTTATTCACTAGCCATGATTCACTTCTCAGTGGATACCACAACCGTGCTGAGAGAAAAAGAATGCCTGCACATGTGACATTGGCCATTGTGAACTCTCGCAGGGTACCTAGTGCAATTAATGTTGCAAATTACCCAGTACATGTCTGTAAGGTATAATACCGCTGAATACCTTGTTGATGCTGTGACTGATGATTAATTCCTGCTCAGCCCTTTATCTTGGATTGGCAGCTTTCAACCACCCACTCATTATCATACTACCTACCTAGCAGCATGAAAATTTGGGAGACTGCTGCTGGCAGCTTTTTTTTTTTAATATTAGAAATTACTGAGACAATTTTGACACGTTGTTGTTGCTTCCATCCACTGTTATTGCGAAAACACGGCAAATCAGAGCCTCCACCATAGTGTTTTTAGCATCTGCAGGCATTTCCTCGACGACGGCAGTTTGTTTTCGTTCGCCTACACCCGCACCACTTCGCGTCCTCGCCTTTCGGTAACATTTCTGAGGCAACGGTCCTACATGATCTTTAATTAGCCCTTAGCAGCAAGTTGTGTTCCACAAGAAATCCGTGAATACATCCTGTGCGCATTTCAGTTTTTTCACACCTCCTTTAGAAAAAAAAACTTCCGACGCTTCTCTGCCCTTCCACAGAAATCTGTAGTTCCGGTGCTTCTTTGAAGCGATGTGCACCTTTAAGACAGCCTTGCCACCGAGCAAAACGCTTCACAGGCACACGTGGTACAGAATCCATACTTGCCACCTTTCCACAAAGTCACAAATCACGGAAAATCAGCTGTGTAACAGTCCAAAAACACTTGCAAGTACTTTTTTTACTTTTGACGCCGCCATCGCCATTCCAACTGAACGCGGGAAAATATGCCCCCCCCCCCCCAAAAAAACCAACATAACGAACACAACTTACACCTGGGCACGTGGAGTACGCCTAGAAGACAGACAGACGCAAAAATTTTGGTACCTTTTCCCTCACTTTCTTAAAAAACAGTGGCGAGCGCGTCTTGCGTCTGCCAACGTTTGCACAGATGCGTGGTGCTATAGTGCATAGAATATACTTAGCGGTATGGTTAATGTTGAGATAAGCCCCCTTGTCTTGGTACCGCTTGGACGTGTGGAACGATTTTGACTTGCCGCGCTTCCGGAGGGTTTAGAAAGTGACAGCACAGCAAATTCTTCAGGTCCATCGGCTCGCCTTAAGCCCTTTAAGCCCACATGGCCGACAGATAACCTGGAAAGGGCTGTTTCGCTGTCTGGGCTGCCTAGATTAACTGGCCCCCTCTACATTTATGGAGTAGTTGGAATGCACCATACAATGAACTGAGTGCCGGAACATCTTCAGTGACGTTTCTCGCATACCAAGGGCCTTTCGAGCACACTGCGGACTGCCCAGCAGCAATGCCTCCTTGATGAGCCACCCTTAAACCTGGCCAACCGGTTGGGTCGACTCTGCACTTGGGGGTTCCAGGTCAACGCACGCGCCAGATGTGCCGTGCTGATCACCTGGGGTATTGTGTGTACTGCCCCCTCCCTGTACGACAAACTGAGCGAACCGCTACCACTTTCCTGGGAGGGGTTTGCGAGTTTGCCTCTTCGAGAGCGCATTGAAAAACGACGATTCGCGAGAGCAGAAAAAGACGACAATTTGCGAGATCAGTGAAAGACGACGATCCCATTAGAGGGTCCTGGACTCTATTGTCTTCCCTCACAGAGAATCTCGGGAAGACGGAGGTTATAAAATGTGAGCACAGAGACACTCAAGTGTGCTTTTCCTTTTTGTCATGTATCACACTGCCTATTCATGTAAATACTCTAAATAAATGTTTCAGTTTCCAGCCGCGGCTCCTCGGCTCGTCTTCACCCTGACCCTTGGATGGCTCCAGGTGCCGACGAATTCCCCCAGTCACAACATCACAAGGAACTACAAAAGTGTAGTGGCGAGTGCTCTCCAGCAGCGCCGCAACTGTCGCAGCAGGAAAGACTAACGTATGCGTATGATAAGAAAAAAGCCTCCGCTGTGGCGGCCACTTTTTGGAAATATGAGATAGCATTCGTACACACAAAAATTAGGTCAAAATTAGGGAGTCGCCCAGACAATTCAGATAAGTTGGCAGGTATGCATTACGCGATTCACAGGGTGTGATGATTCATAATTTTCTACACTTCTGTCACATATTGTCTGTTACCACAACTCCTCAAACAATGCGACGTCCATACAGTGTTCTTTTCCAGAGATGTTTCAAGCACTGGCATATCTCTGACGTAGAACACTTGGCTGCCTTGCAGCATGCCTGGCTTTATTTGTGCATTAAACTCCAAATTTTATCCTTTGCACCTATTGGGACTTTTTACTCTTGGACAATTACTATTTTTCAGTCACTACGAACATCACTGACACCACCACATTTTTCTGTGACATGGCAATTTTGACGCTGCCATGCTAAAATGGCTTAGGTGGAAATTTGCATTAAGAAGCAATAGCTACGAATTTCATGATAAGTAACCTGCTGTGGTGCTCAAACAACACAAATTTTACTGATAAACCTTATGCCTTTTTGCTGTAACACATAGAGCATCGCGACAAAAAATTTGTGCATGAAAAAGTTATTCAGTCTCAAGGCATCCTCTGAAATTTTCCTCGCTTTTAATAGCCCTTTTTCTATCGAAGACAAGCTGAGCTCGTTTGCATGGTTTGTAACGCTCCTGATGAACATGGGCTTGGCTCGTCTATGCTGAAGCACTTGAAGACACTGCAATTAAGCTAGCCTGATTCAATTTGCAGAGTTCCATTGGCTCGAACAGAATATGCAGTAAAAAAATTTAAAACATCCTTAAAGCATACATTTTTGTCAAGAAAGGACAAAAGTCTGGCAACCAGATTTAGAAAATGGCACACTCCTCTGGGCGGAAGCAGAGTATGTGCGGGCTGCAGGTCTTTTCAGAAAAAAAAAAGGGTGTGCGCCATGATTTTGTGGAATTAATACTTTTAGTTTTCCTTCAAGTGTAGCAGCGGCTACACAGAGCAGTATATATTTCTTAATTATCAGATTTAGGCAATGGACGTGTTCCAACATATCCGCAGCGAACACCGATCGATGTAAGCAAGCCTCCACCTATGCATCAAAGACTTTCTTTCACTTTTTGTAGCCCTGGTCCCTGTGCAACACTTTTTGAATTTCAAAGAGACATTTTCGGCATTGATTGCTAGAGAGGTTAGGGCACATTCTGTGGTGCAGTGCAGTGAAGCTAATCCCCTACATATTTTCAAAAAAATTATTCTGCTTGTATCTTTTTGAATCAAATGCCTTTAAACAGTTGTTTAAGTTGTTTGAGAATCATATAGACATATTATAAATCTGCATTTTAGTTCTGTTCTCGACTTAAGAAAACTGCGTACGGAACGGGTTTAACTCTGTAATATTAAAATTCATTGTATATTTATCATTTGTATATTAAACTTCCAGCAATGCACTTGCACTGCTCCAAATATTCGTTTAGATGCCCTACCATAAGAATTTTGGAACCACTATATACCTCTACCAGCTAAATACTTATAAAAACAAGAATAGTCTTCAAGGTTGAAAATATTTCAATAAAGAAACTCAAGCTTTTCTGGTCAATCTATGTAGTACTTGTTTGACTTCCACAAATGCGTACTTTGATACAAAATGTTTAGGACAAAAAACATCCTCCAAATTCCCATAAATTCAATCGAGGAACATAGAAAATGCATTTGCCACTTTATTTTTGTACTGGTGCAATCCAAGTAAAAATATTTTGTAGGCAGCACTTGAGAGAACACTTTGTAGCTAAGTAATGAAGAAAGTGTCATTAAAGTTTATTTTAGACGAAAAATTTTTTAAGCTGGCCCTCAGAATGCATCTGGCGATTCTTCGTACGTACACTTTTCTGCACCGTGCACAATCACTCTAGCAGCTGACACTCAGTACAGGCAGAAACCAGATGTGAAGTGTATGTCAGTGGCTAAAGAAAGTTAAAAAGCTTTATCACTTTGATGTGATGGTACAACTACTGCATTACCATTACATTGCAAGTCTATTTTGCTGTCACAAACCAATACACCAGAGAATAGTTTCTGATATCCTTAACACATTGTGCTACAAGAAAACACACACAATTAGTATACACAAAAATATGTATATACGTACCTAGGTACTACTAGAAATTGTATTAAAAATAATGTGCTAAACATACCTAAAGTATTAACACCTAATAATGCCTTTGGCCCTGAGGATAATTCCAAAAAAATAAATCAATAAACAAATTGGGCATTCTGAATATTCTCCTTGTTTTTTGTTTTTTTTAATATACGTTCCAAGGGGTGGAACAGGACATCTGAACAGAACCTCTGTAGCAGTGCAAGCACAATTTTGGAGATTCAACAAAGATAAATTTGAAATAATTTTTTCTTTTAAGCACAGTTTAATAAAAGTGAATGAAAATAAAAAAGGTTCCATGGGACTCAATATTTTTGTGCTAAAATTCTTTGTCGCAATGCTCAATATGTTACAGCAAAAAGGCACAAATTTTATCATCAATATCTGCGTAATCTAATACTACAGCAGGGACACTTGGCATGCAATGACCCATATATATATATTTTTTT